TCGGAACCTGCAATAAGAAGGTTTCAATTTGTTGTATGACTTCATTTCTATTATTATTAGTTTCGTTTACTAAAACCCATACTGAATGATTTGAGGTTCTATATGTTAATTTGGTTGGTATGGCTTATGTTTACTTTAAACATGACAGAGAGACTTGAAGGCTGCATGACGGATGCCGGTGACGCTAGTTTTAGGAACTGGAGAAGGAGAGAGAGACATTTTCTAGAAGATGGTTAAAGTTAAGAGGAATAGATAAGTTTTGTGGAGATGCACATAGGGTTCATCAAAGATGAGAATCATATATATATATGATTTACAGAGGGGCTACAAATCAGGAACATTTATGATCAAGCGATGTAAGATGGGGAGATGAAAAGTTCACCGGTGGAAAAAATAGATTACGAACAGACACACGACGCAGCTCTATAACTCAGACTTGTATGAGACGATGGTGAAAGGAATCTTAACTCATTTTAAACATTAACGGTTTACAATATGGGAAAACTGTAACTGTTGTAAACTTGAGAATTTTCTTCATATAATATGATGCAGCCCAATAAAAAATGAAACTAATAATACACTTCCAGACCCGAACTTTAAAGGAGGCCATAGATGCAAAGGCTTCCGGCTAAATATATATTAGTTTCGGCCATCAATGTATAAGTTATCTTGTAGTTTAGTGGTATGAATGTTAGTGTTTGTTTCTTAACAACCCGGGTTTGAATCATATGTTTGACATTTTTTCACATTTTTTAAAATAGGATTCACCTAATGCCGATGTGGCACGTTGAGGAGTCTTGAAACTCAACTATTATAATATAGATTGTACAAAGATACACAAAAATAATTGTACAAAGACACTTTTTCGAATATTAAATATCAAAAGATAAAAAAAAAAACATTTCAACTTAATTGAGGTTTACACCTTTTCACATTAATGGAGATTGTTATTATTAGTAGATTTTTGCTTGTTGAAGTATATAACCTTGTAGTACTTGGTTTGCTTGCTGAAGTATATAACTTTGTAGAACTTGTTTATTGTGCATTTTCATTTAGCAACGTTTTTAGACCATGCAATGTTATTGAACCATAAATGTGAGTTTTTAATTTGTATTGTTAATATTATCCCTACACGAACTATGCTTATAATTATTATGTTCGTCTACTGTATATTTTTAGGATTCAAACTTAAGAAAAGGTGATATCGAGCTCAGACAGAGAAATTTAAAAAATCAACTAGAAAGCATAAACCTTGTTAAAGAAAATAAATTTAATCGATGTTGGATAGATTTACAATTTATCAACCCTGTGTTATTGATGTTGGATAGATTTACAATTTATCAACCCTCAAGTAAACACTAAACACACACAATGCCGACCAAAACACACACACAATGACACATGAATGAAAGAGTGTTTTGATTTCTCTTCTTTATAATAAAAAAACAGTGGACGAAACAAAAAACAAAAAGAAATCGTGTTTACACTGGATCTCAAAAGGGCAAGTCAAAGATGTATATCAAAAGTCCAATGGGCCTTCTAGCTAAGCAGTTACGTCTGCTAACTCTCTAGGGCTTTCTCATCGCCCCTCCTATAAAAACAACATTTCTAGGGTTTTTCACCATCATCGCCGAACGCAACCAACAACAAGATGGGACGAAGTAAGTTTTCTCTCCTCCACCTTCAATTCAAATTATCTCAATCGGTTTCCCTATTCGTAGATCCTTGAATCGAATCATTGTTTCATATGGAATCCCTAGGCGCTGATTAGATTTGGTTGCAATCATTTAAATCTACGATTCGTGTGTATTTACAGGGCCAGCGAGATGTTACCGCCAGATCAAGGGCAAACCCTACCCCAAATCCCGCTACTGCCGTGGAGTCCCGGACCCCAAGATCCGAATCTACGACGTGGGAATGAAGAAGAAAGGAGTCGACGAGTTCCCTTTCTGCGTCCACCTCGTCTCCTGGGAGAAGGAGAACGTCTCCAGCGAAGCCCTCGAGGCGGCGCGTATCGCTTGCAACAAGTACATGGTGAAATCAGCGGGGAAAGATGCGTTCCATTTGAGGATTAGGGTTCATCCTTTCCATGTTCTGAGGATTAACAAGATGCTTTCGTGCGCTGGAGCTGATAGGCTTCAGACTGGTATGAGGGGGGCTTTTGGGAAGGCGTTGGGGACTTGTGCTAGGGTTGCGATTGGGCAGGTGCTTTTGTCTGTGAGGTGTAAGGATAATCATGGTGCTCATGCTCAGGAGGCGTTGAGGAGGGCTAAGTTTAAGTTCCCTGGTCGTCAAAAGATTATTGTTAGCAGGAAGTGGTATGTTTTAGTGTGTGTCCTGTTTTATTTATTCATTATGTTATGTGTGTTTGAACAAATGATTGAGTTGGAGGTTTTGATGTTTTTAGGGGATTCACTAAGTTCAACCGTGCTGACTACACGAGGCTGAGACAGTCAAAGAGGATTGTTCCTGATGGTGTCAATGCTAAGGTTTGTTCTTTTCTTTGTTTATGTTATTTGTTCTTCATGATTTGATTGATTCTGATTTCTTTTTATTTGTTTGCGTGTTACAGTTTCTGTCGAACCATGGACCTTTGGCTAACCGTCAACCTGGAAGCGCCTTCATTTCAGCCACTAGCGATTAAGGATGGAGATGATTTGTGGTTGTGGAACCTATCATCTAGTTTATGAAGTCGTATTGTTTTGTTTTTGTTGTATCAAGGATCCTCGTATGGTTTCATTTTGCTTTGACAATTGTTTCAAGTTCAGTTTTGGATGTTTTTTACGACTCAAGTTTCTTGTTTATCGGAGTACTTTTTCAGTTCTTAAGTTACTTATTATCTTACATTACATATCGAATAATGTTCTGTCATAAGATGATAAACTCATTAGGAAAACTTGGAAGCTATGACTATTTATAGAGATGCCTGTTTATATACAAAGCTAGTTGCTCCGTTCAGAAGATGTGAAAACCTTTTAAACAAAATCTGTGTGCGTTTCAATCTACAAGCTTTATTAAAGAACGCAGGGAGACTCCAATTAATTAACTCAGTGATTATGAGCCTTGTGAACTTCTGAATGGCGGCTTTTCAATTATCTAGTAGTTGTCTACATGAAATTGAAAGGCTTTGTTCTGCATTCTTTTGGTCTGGCACTGATTTGAAGAGTAAAAAAGCTAGAGTAAGCTGGAAGGAAATATGTAGAACGAAGCAGGAAGGGGGGTTAGGAGTCAGATCGCTTAAGGAGATAAATTGTGTAAATATTCTGAAGCTTATTTGGAGAATCTTATCTGCAGAATCATTATGGGTTAGATGGATTCAGACTTATCTCATACGGAAGGGGTCACTCTGGTCGATCAAAGATACTACTCAATTGGGATCGTGGATGTGGAGAAAAATCCTAAAGCATAGAGACAGAGCAAAACAATTCTATATGGTGGAAGTTCATAATGGTTTGAAAGCTTCATTCTGGTATGAAAAATGGTCACCAATGGGTAATCTGATTGAAATACTGGATGAAGGAAGATATATTGATATGGGTATAAAGGAAAATGCTAAGGTTGCAGACTGTAGGATGCATAAGAGGAAAAACCATCGGTCCCTTCTGCTTAATAGAGTTGAACTGGAAATCGAAAAGTTTAAAGAAAAGCAGTGTATGGAAGAGACGGATATTTTATTGTGGAAGAATGGTAATGAAAAGTATAAAAGAGTGTTTAAAACTAGTGAGACTTGGCAGGTTATTCGAGAGAAGCACTGTAAGTATGACTGGCACAAGGCATTATGGTTTAAATACTCTACTCCTAAATTCTCTCTTATTTTTTGGATGGCTATGCGGGACAGACTTCCTACAGGTAGTAGAATGGTTTCTTGGGGTTTAGAAGTGAACACTTCATGTAGCTTTTGTCAGCACCCTGTAGAGTCTATTGATCATTTATTCTTTGAGTGCCCTTTCACTGGTTTGATTTGGCAGACTCTGATGGGGAGAGTACTTAAAGAAAGGTTTACAATGAGATGGTCTGAGATTGGGCGAATTACTTCTGATGAAAATCAGGGGAAACTTCTTCTCTTCACGACCAGATATGTTGCTCAGGCTGCTGTTCACTATATTTGGAGAGAAAGGAATAAAAGAAGACATGGAGAACAAGCTTCTCCTCACCATCTTCTTGCGAAGCTTATAGACAAAACTGTAAGGAATATCTTTTATATTATTCAACAGAAGGATAAGAGGTTTGAGGGTGGTCTGCAGTTTTGGTTTAACACAAGACAAGAGGACCTAACCTAGTAGGAGTGAGAGCTAGGCGCTAGTAGGAGTGAGTGCTGGTGAAAGGGTACCGTCTTGTGGTGATGGTGGGAGAAGTATGAGCCAGTAGGAATGAGTGCTGGTAGAAAGGTTGGAAGCTCAACAAATCCTAGTAGGAGTGAGAGCTAGGTCCTTAGTAAGAGTGAGAGCTAAGGGTTGAAGTGAGTTGTATGCAAAGGAAGGAAAATATCTTGAGATAATAGGAAGTGTTGAAGTTGGTTTATTCTTTTTGTCATCTTTAGGAAAAGTACATTACTTGTAACAAGGTCTTTCTTTTTTGAATTCAATTTAACATTCAATTCAAAAAAAAAAAAAAAAAAAAAAAGAACGCACTTCTGTTTGAGATGAGTAAACCGGACAATTGACATCTCCTTCATACATAAATTGTTCCCATT